GCCTAAATACCTAATAATCATATACTCTCCGAAATAGTAACCTATATAACTACCATCCGAAACCTAAGTATCGCATTTGTTGTGTCCTTTGGACCCTTACAAGGTAATAAGAACGATGTCAAATACATTATACAAGTGTAAACATACCGCCTCAGCTCGAAAGATGGATTGAAAGCCTCCAGTACGGAGAGACCAACCAGATATGGGTGGCTGTCAAAATTATGGTCCCTTTTTGGGTCCTTATTATAATACGGCGCCTATTATTTAGGGTACCCCAATGGGACCATAATTTTGACAACTACCCATATGAAGACGCAAGAGAACAAGAACCGCTAAGAACATCAAGTCTACACAAAAAGCAATCCAACAGCTCGACGTGACAGGGAAGAGCAGAACAAAAAACTGCAACGTGCAGCATAGTGCAGCATTGTGTGAGATTTGTTGCTTCCCCAGTTAACCCTAAACCCTAAACCCTGCTACAAGTTGCAGCATGCAGGCATGTCATTTCAAGCCCCCCTGTGAGGACCGGGCTCTGCAATAAGGTGGCTGTATGACGGATTAGGGTTTGTTAGGGTTTGGGGTTCAGGGTTTAGGGTTTCGGGCTTAGGGTTTAGGGATAAGGGACTAGGGATTAGGGCTTACGGTTTAGGGTTTAGGGTTTAGTGTTTAGGGATCAGGGTTTATGGTTTAGGGTTTAGGGTCTAGGCTGGCCCTTTACAGCCTCAAAGGGACAATACGAAATGTCCCGATGGCCTACCAAGTTTGATGCTGGCGATGCTACACTCGGCGGCTCAGGGTACGTACTTAAACTCAACCAACTGCACACAAGACCCGAGCCCCTACACCAAACCCGAAACCATGAACCCAAATTTCAAGCGCCGAACCCAAGACCCTAAACCCTAAGCCCAACACCCTGATCCCTAAACCCTTCTAGTTTTACATAGACCCCTGGCCTTACTATAGGGGACCCTTCAACATCAACCCTAACCACTATAGTGCGTTATGAAACTACAGAGCCCCTTCTTCTAGAACCCCAAACCCCGGAAAACTGGTGAGCACTTCCTCCCCCTGAGCGCATGGCGGAGCCGTCGAATTCCGGCTTCTCCTGCGCCTGTGATGGGCTACTACAAGTGCTGTACTTGGAGGCCCGGGGGACTTAGTAAGTAGGTTATAAGTAGAGTTATAAGTACCCTAAATGGAGTTACCCCAGTTATAACCCTATATATAACTGACTTACTAAGTCCCCCGGGCCTCAAGGGTCCATGTACCCAAATAGTAGATACTTTGGCCCAAAAGTACCCAAATAGGGACTACTTTAAGGCCAAAGTATCACATACTTGGGCACGGTTTAACCAATTTTATTTCCAGGATCCTGTAAGCTAACCCAAAAGGAACTACAATGGAGACTATATCTATATATATATATATATACATATGTATATGTATTGTGGTCAGCTCTTCGGGTTCGGGGCTTGATGCAAGGTTGAGGGTCCAAAGTTCGGGGCTTACCGCGTATGCTTTTTATAAACGTCTAGGGGGTCACAGCTTAGCGTTATCCGGTTAGGGTCGTGGGCTCTAGCAGCTCAAGCCTTACTCTCCTAGCATCTTTCTATTCGTTTAAAGATTTCTTGCACCCTTCGGGTTATAGGGTTAGGGTTTAGGGCAAGATTTTGTCTATAGACACCCCACCCTAAACCCTAACTCCAAACCCTACGCGCGGTAACCCTAAACCCGGCTACACCCTAACAAGCACGAGCATGGAGGAATTCCCACCCTGAAGCCCCTAAACCCTGATCCCTGAACCTGTAAGCCCTAAACCCTAAGGGTCCATGTACCCAAATAGTATGTACTTTGGCCTTAAAGTAGTCGCTAAAGAAAGCACTTTGGGGCCAAAGTATATACTATTTGGGCAGATGGACCCTTGGGGTAAAGACTAAAGCCCTATGTGGAAACTTGAATCAAGCGATCCTCAAACAAGTGCCGTTGGAGATTCTGAAGGCAGGTTTGGCGATTTGTTGTTGGGCGAGGGGGGGGTTCCAAGTGTCAGGGATGCGGATGAAGGCTGGCGGCATCAGCCTGTCTAAAAAACACGATACCCCACATACCCCTACATTTAGCCGCGTCTTGAAGTCATCCATACTTAGAGATCGTAGATCACCGCAGAAAACAGAAGGTTGTGGCAGGACTTGCAGTTGCAGGAGTCTAGAGCCTCTGGGATCTAGCTACCTCATTTTGTGGTCCTTATAATAGGGATCCTACTATTTAAGGAACTCCCTAAACCCTAAACCCTAAACCCTAAACCGAGGGTCCCCTATTGTTGGGGCTCCAAACCTTGCAATTCGAATCCCCACCTTCTCCACCAGGTGGTCGATCCACCGTTGCCTGAAATCTGATGCATTTCTCTCACAGCCAGAAGATGCCTCCGGGTTTAGGGCTTAGGGTTTAGGGTTTAGGGGTTTAGGGTTTAGGGTTTAGGGTTTAGATGCCTCTAAGCCTAGGCCTAAAACCCTAAGCCTAAACACTAAGACATAAAACGCACATCCTAGACAACATGCCCAAATCTCCAAACTCTAAGCCCTAAACCCTCAACCCTACAGTGCCCTGAGATGCAATGCCCGAGAGTGGAGCCCGGGGGCTTGCGATAACTACATACATGTATGCATGCATACATGCATATACGCATACAAGCTCCCATGCATGCAGATGGGTAAGGTACCCGAAGCGTAAAGGAATCAACGACTACCTGACTTATGTCACATTCGGTCCATCCAAGCCACCAGTCGGAGGGAAAGAGCGAATAGTCGTCAAAGCGCTTCATCTTCTTGGTCGGGCCTGTTGGTTTAGCGTTTACTATCCCAAAGGGTCTAAGGGACCCAGTAATCAGGTACTTTGGTTTCGGATAGTAGTTATGTGGGCTACTAGTTGGGAGAGTATGTCATTATTAGGTACTTGGACCCTTAGGGTATGGTTTATGGTGAATGTCGGAAGGTTGGAAGATGCGCAAAGTTTTCAGCACCCAAAACACCAACAACGGCGAATGTTCCAACTTTGGAAATCTTCCACGCCCAATTCCAGAGTGCTCCGGTGGAACCCTAAACCCTAAACCCTAAACCCGAAGAAAAGGGGAAATCAAGCACTTCTGGCTTTCTGGTCATCCCTTTTTCAAGGGTGCGGGTATGGATCTGCTGAGTGAGGTGGAGGGTTTTTGGGGGTTCCTTTAAAGGGATCTAATAGGGATCCTAATTAGGCTTCCTTTAAAGGGTAGTTCAGGGTTTAGGGTTTAGGGGGCTGGGGCGGGGGCTTGCAAATAATCAAAGTTGGAAGATGGCTAAGAGCGTGTGTGATCTTGCCGCGAGTGCGGGGAAGCCTTCTTAGCAAAAGCGCACAGTTGGAAATTCGACTCCGGACCAACCGTTCCATTTCCCAGCTTCCAACTTTTAGGCGTTCGCTGTAATGTAATATAAAAACCCTAAACCCTAAACCCTAAACCCTAACCCCTAAACCCTCCACCAGATTGGCCACGACACCAAGACTTGCCAAGGTGGCAAGCTATCACTGGCAAGCGTGCTGATCAATGCTCAGGATCAAAACCCCGAAAGCCTCAAGGTGAAGCTCGCCCGAAATAGAATTCATAATCCATGCCATGGACCTTATTCAACCCTGAATCGAACCCTACACCCCAAACCCTACACCCTAAACCCTCAACCCTAAACCCCAAACCCTCAACCCCAAACCCCAAACCCCAAACACCCAAACCTCAGCTTCGGCTGAGACTCTCATCTTCGCCGTCTTTGGCTTGTTTTGGTTGAACAGCACTTGCCAGGGTGCAAGCATCCGATGGCGGCTGGGCCTCAACTCGTTCCACAGAAAGGGGCGTGGCTGCTTGGCTTGTTGCAAGCTTGGGTTTTAGGGTTGGGTTTTTTTTGGATTTGGGGGTTTAGGGGTTTAGGGTTGAGGGTTTAGGGTTCATCCATCTGAAAGATTTTCAGAAGGAAGGTCCTGCCAGACCCAACAGGGCAAATATCAACAAATCCCCAAGGCCTACCGAGAGTGAGTGGATTGAAAGGCTGTCGCCATGATGCAAAAATCTCTAGGACCAGATGCTGTACATCTCCGCAGGAACTGGCCCCTAAACCCTAAACCCTAAACTGAATCTTGGAACCCCCAACTTCCGAAAACCAACACATGACGGACCCTAAACCGCGCATAAAACTTTAACGCCTCTACCCCTAAATCCGGGAGTATACCCTAAACCCCAAAGCCCTAAACAGGCTGCGGGTCCTGCTGTTACTTTCAAGCTGCGGAGAACTTGAACTAGGTCTTGCGACTAGTCGTTCTTTTTTAAGGTGGTTTGTCCTTATATCGCGGCCTTAACAGTTAAGATAAGGGTTTGGGGTATATGAGTATATGGTGGTGTGATCATATTGGGACCATCACGGGATCGGTGCACGATGTTGTGAGAATAGGTCCGACACCAGTCATAACTCCTGTGATCATAATGCTTCAACCCTAAGGCTCCATTTACCCATATAGTACATACTTAGGCCTTAAAGTACCTATATAGGGACCCCTTTAAGGCCAAAGTATCTACTATAAAGGTACATGGAGCCTTTGGGCAAGTTATGTTGGAATATTATCTCAAGGCTTCATCCCGGCTCCCTGGACTTCTAAACCCTAACCCTTAGCATTAAAATAGCCCAAAGGCCTTATAATAATAGGGTCTTTTTGGGCCCAAAAGCCTTAAAACATGAGTCCCTAGAGGGTAAGGGGAATTAAGGTGTATTGGAAGTTCGTGGGACTTAGTAAGTAGGGTTATAAGTACCGTAATTGGGGTTATATGTAATTATAAGTATAGTTACCTTATTTATAACCTCAGTTACTAAGTCCCATGATCCTTAAGTATTGAAAGTTCTGGTACAAGGGACCCAAAAAAGACCAAACCCTAAACCCTAAACCCTAAACCCTAAACCCTAAACCCTAAACCCCAAAAAAGACCACAGGAGCGAACAGACCGCATCGCAGATGTCGCTGCGCTGCGAACGGCATCCTCGGCGCTGCAGAAGGTCTGGAAATGTATGGGTTTAGGGTTTATAGGGTTTAGGGTTCAGGAATTAGGGTTTAAATTTTAGGATTCAGGGTGTTGAATATTTTGGGGGTGACTTATGCGACATTTTCAAGATGGACACAACGAATCAGGGGTGTATTACAGTCAGGCCTTGCAGAACGGTTGTGGTGGGTATACACAGGGCTTCTTATTTCAGGATATTGCTGCGTGTGTATTTGAAGTCTCCACTTAAGGATGTTCGTACTGAACATCTTGAATTGCCATAGACCCCCAAGCCCTCGTAGCTATTCCCTCAACCCCGAAGACCAGACCCCTTGTCAGCTTCTGCACCCGAAACCTGCTCTGGCCGTCTTGCTAAAGCTAACTCACGGGAGTTGCACCTGGCCCCCCTAAAGCATTCGAAGTTAGAGAGGCTATGGGATTTACGAGTTCCGGTGTTTTTTCGACTATAAAGTTGCAAGACCCTGGTTCTCTCCTGTGTCAAGATTCTGCACAGGATTCAGGCTTGGGTTTGGGGTTCAAGTCCGAGTTGTGGGTCCACTGAAGTCACTGATTTGTGATCAGCTTTGTTTGGGGGGTTAGGACTTCGAGATTCGCTTCTCAGGATTTCGTTGCATCCTTTTGCCGCCCTACCGATTTAGCCGCCCTGCCGGTTAGGCGTCTTGCTCGATCTCTGGTTCTTTGGTCACAGGCCACAGCAAACCAATGCTTGAAACGGCTTGGGTCCGCGCAGAGCTGTAAGAAAGAAGCTTGACTTCAATAAAGGTGCGTGCAGCCCTGCTGATACCTACCCGGGACCGTCATGTAGGACTGTTGTATACCTTCAGCTGTTTATTTGCAGTGTATCGGTTTGCTTTAATGATCAGAGCTGTGCGCCTGCAGCAAGGATCCTTGTGATTGATGAGCTCTGAGTGTAAAACTCCGAAAGGATATATAACTCACAAGCCAGGGCCTAAGCCTAAGTCTGAGCCTGAAACGCCAAGCATGAGACAGGATGTGACGTCGCTGAAGGAGGTGATCCCAAACCATCGTGCACGGTTGGGTGAGGCTGCGTCCCGGAACCTTGTTTGCTTTGGGTGTAGGTAGGGCCCAGATAGTAGTAGTGAGGTAGTAGTGGTAGTAGCAGTAGCAG